GTCACATCATGTTTGTTATATAGTTGCATTGTTGATTAACTTGAATAAATATCATAATATTGTCTATCATCTTGTTTATTCCTATTGTGAGCTTGCAAGTACATTCAATGTATTGACCTGACGTGTCATGCCAGATTTCAGGAAAGTCCCATTGGAAAGGAGTGTTGTCCGAGTCTAGACCGTGTCCACATCGGTGTCCTTGTGCTATGGAGTCTCGCTACGACGTTGTTCCGTTGCCGAGTAGTTGTCATGATCAAGGCCCCTTTATGTTCACTAAATAATGTACATATTGTGGTGGCGAGGGAGGCAGGGGCGTCTCCGGTGACGGCGAGGGAGGCAGTTGTGGCGAGGGAGGCAGTTGTGGCGAGGGAGGATCCGGTGGCGTTGATGGTGGCTCCGGTGGCGTTGATGAGGCCGCGCGGCTCCGTGGCATTGGGGGCGGCTCCAGCGGCATCGACGGCGTGCGGCTCTGGTGGCTTCGGGGGCGTCGACGTCGGCAGGAGACGGCGACGAAGTGGGGCGACAGCGAATCGGGGAGACGGCGGCTGGGTGGGTCGAGGGATTTGGGGAGAAGTGGTGGCCGGGGGGAAACGGTTTTTTGGTTAAGTCAAACTTGGCGGTAAACGCGTTATAGCTAAGTTACTGCTATAGCTATGTAATTTCCTTCCTTTTTTTATTTCCTCTTCTGTTTCTATAGCGGGGGTCTAGGAAACGCGCTGCAGCTACTTTAGCTATAGCGCCTCTTACAAACAAACGCTACTGCTATGCCTTTTTTCTTTTTTTTCGCTTTTTCATTTATTTTGCTTTACATTTTATTTTTTTCCTTTCTCCTTTTTTCTATTTCTTTCTTTTTATTTACTTTTCTATTTATTTTTCATTTTATTTTATTTTCATTAGCAGTAGCGCTCTTCATAGGAAACGCGCTACTACTTATGCCCTAGCGGTGGCGCGCTTCTTCCAAGCCCGCTACTGCTATGGGTAGCCTAGCGTTCTAGCAATGAGAATATTAGTAGTAGCACTTTTACGACCACACGCGCTACTGCTAAATTTCAGTGTATAAGGTTTTCCCTAATAGTGTCTCTTTGAAGTAGGGTTGCTCATGTAAAGGTTCTCTCAACCGGTTTTGTGAAAATCTCAGAAGCTTCCCGTTGGGTTTTTTCCTCTTCTGGTTTTTTGTCAGGGTTTTTACTCGTATATTTTTTATTTTCCTGTTTCCATTTTCATTTTCATTTTTGAAATTCATTTACATTTTTAAATTTACATTTTTAAATTCATGAACATATTTCCAAGTTCATGAACATTTTTTCAAAGAATAAATATATTAAAATTTATATTTTCTAAAATTTGTGAACTTTTCTCTTCCTTAACCTTTCCAATTCATATTTTGTTTCAAATTTGTGAACATTTTTTAATTCATGAACATTTTTCAAATTTTCAAATTTTTAAAAGTACTGAATTGTTTTCAAATTCACGAACTTATTTAAATCCATGAACATTTATTCGAAGTACAAATATGCAATCTATAAAGAACCAGTGATTCTTTTTTTTTTCTTCTAAACCAGTAGCTGCTGGTTTTTGCTGAAATTGCAGCGAGCGAGCCGGGCCATCGGCCCAGCTGTGCGCGCGCCGAAGGCCCTAACGAGGACCTCCCTTAGATTGATGTAAAAAAAGATTGATGTCAAAAAAAGAAAAAAAAAGTCTGAAAAAAGATAGAAAAAGGAGCTCCCTTCTAAACATCGCTCCAGCAACCCGTCAAAAAGAAAAACATCGCTTCAGCATATTACACGTCTACTCATGGGTGCAAGACTGTTGCATCCCGCTGGCCACTGGCCGCTGCCTGAGCATTTCCGCAGCGCCGCCGCCCCTCCCCACCCCTGCGGCCCCGCCTGCTGGCTGCTCCGCGCATTCCCCTCCGCCCCTCGGCCCCGGCGGTCAGGTGCTCTCCCGATCTCCGCGGCCGCCATGCTGCCGGCTCCTGCCTCCGTTGCGCCGCCCAAGTCGAGGAGCGCCGACACCGATTCGCGCTCCCTCCCCTCGGCCTCGGCAGTCAGCTGCCGCCTCCGGCCCCTGCCTCCGCTGCGCCGCCAAAGCCGAGGAGCGCCCACTCCGACTCCTCGCTCAGCTACTCTGCGCACCGCTGCTGCTGCTCGCCTCGCCGACTCGTAATTTCCTGGACTGTGAGTGAGACACTAGGTAATTTCTGAACTTGTGCATTTTTTATTTTTTGCGGGAATTCTGAATCTGTGCATTGAAGCTAGATTCAGTTGAAATACAGATGCATATGTATTGAATTGAACTCGAATCGATGCGTTTTGTTACCACTTATCAATTTCATTTCATGCTGTAGAAATAGAAGATGAAGAGGATTTTTTGCGTCGGTGCCCGCAGCGGGAGTGTCTACACTCTATTGCTTCAACTCAGTGGAGTCAGGGAGTGTATTTGCAAGTATTGATGATAATGATATTTGATATCGTTTTCAGTCCTATAGGTCTCGTTGTAGTGGTAAGTTTTCAGATTTGTATCAATGATAATTACTTCACTTGATGCTTATGCCTTTTCTTATGAAATTATACCGTTGATGTCTTGAAGGTGTTGGTTCTTCTTCTACAGTTGATCAGGTCATGGGACACACAGATGAAGCAAACAATTGTTTCGGTACACTTTTGTATCTCCGTTTTTTTATTTGTAGAATTTGTCATGTTTTATATATTTTGTTGGATGTTAAGCATTGAGTTTAAGTTCTAGATTTATTGTGCAATTGGGCCATATTCTGTATGTGTTTTTGCATGCGGTATTTTTTGTACTCCCTCCGTTTCTAAATATTTGTCTTTCTAAAGATTTCAACAAGTGACTACATACGAAGCAAAATGAGTGAATCTACACTCTAAAATATGTCTATATACATCCGTATGTGGTAGTCCATTGGAAGTCTCTAAAAAGACAAATATTAGAAACGGAGGGAGTAGTAGTTATGAGGTGGTTTTGGGGTAGTTATAGGCGCTGCTGATTCATGTGCTCACAATGTCTAAAGTCGCCTAAGGTTGACTTAAGGTGCCTTACGGACGACCTTATGGCCACATTGGTGACGCCCTTACAGTCGATCTCCTCAATGTGTAAATTAGTCTAAGGTCCACCTTTTGAGAGTTATGGCCGACGTACATTGCAGACGCCCTAATGGGATATAAGCTGGTGTAAAACTGAAAACTAGCACATGCTAAATTGCTAATAATAACAGTAAAAAAATAGTCCATCTTTACGGTAGCAGATCAATGATTACCTTAACAATCAAATTCCAATTGCTTACCTGTAGCAATTTGCAGGCTAGATTAAGTCAATCTGAATTCCACTAGAAGAAACGCACCAGGAGGCCTCCATTTGATAATGAGCATTTCCAAGAGCGTGAGTGAGCTCACCGGCCGGCAATGAAGTATGCCATGACGGTGAAGATATAGGAAATAACCAGTTGAATACTTGAATTGGCTCGCAGTTAATCAATGAGAGGATGCAAATGGAATATTTATTTGTTCTTTTGAAGAAATAGCACGATCAGCTATATAAATATTTACAGCTAGCTAGTAGCAAAAAGTTGATCTGCATTGCTGTACAAATATCTAGAAGTAGCAAATAGCCAACCAGTTAGGACTGATCAGCTTAAAGTATTGTACTCCTATTGTACAATCTATGAGGGTAAAGCCAAAATAATCTATGATCGAAATGACTAATTATAGTCTCTGATCAAAAGGTGCAACCGAAGAAACACCAATGTGCTAAGAACATTCAAAACCACAAGCAGGGATGATGATTTCAGTGTGCAGGTAATCAAGATTACTGGCCCCTTCATCTGCAGAGAACACCTTGATTGCATCCTGCATCGTTGGACGGTGTAATGGGTCAGGTTCTATGCACCGAACAGCGATGGCAATCACTTTGAATATTTCATTTGCAATCTCAGCTTTAGGCAATGGGAGCCGGGTGTCCAGCAAATACTTGGGTATTGTACTTTTCTTGTCCATGGATGAGAGGGACGAAAGAAAATCACCCGGATGATGTCCCATGAACAACTCGAGCACAAGCACTCCAAAACTATAGATGTCGCACTTCTCCGTCACCCTTGTTGTGTATGCAAGCTCTGCCAAGCCAATAATGAAGAGTTAATTTTAATAACCTTTTTTTATGTATGTACTGAAAAAAGCGTTGTGAAGGGATAATAAGACTTGTTCCCTGCCACACAAAAGTAAGAAGGCGTGGCTCGAACCCGGGCTGGCTAGTCCACCAACCATGGTACTAACCATTTGCATCCGGGAGAGTTCTCGTATGTAGATTAATTGTAGAGACCAGAGACAAACATAGTATGGTCGATAAAAAGATATATAATATACTAGTTTTTGACTGTATAATTGGTTTCATTTACACAAACCAATAAGTAGTACTCTACTTCCTGACACAGTTATGAAGATCTACGCTAATCATTTCATTATTGATGTGAAAATATATATAACGCTATGCAAGACATCCATCGAAGTGACAAAAATAAACGTACAACACGTTGATTTAACCGACATAGATATATATTATTGTACCTGGTGCAAGATATCCTTTTGTCCCGGCAAGCCTTGTGCAGTTTGACCCATCCACATCTAATATTTTGGCAATACCAAAATCAGAGATGCATGCTCTAAATTCCAGATCAAGCAAAATGTTGTTACTTGTTATATCTCTATGGACTATCGGCGCAAAGCAATCATGATGCATGTAAGACAAAACATGGGCCACATCCTGAACAATATTTAACCTCCTTGTCCAGTCCAACTCTATTGCAGTTTCCTTGGTCCTTAAAGATGCTGCTAAGCTTCCTCTTTTCATGTATTCATACAAAAGAAATCTTTGTTGAGTAGCAGAACAGTAGCCAAATAACTTCACAATATTGCGATGCCGAATATGCATCAAGGCATCTATTTCACGATTAAATAGCTCCTCCTCTTCTATTGTATGAATCTTCTTTACTGCAATATCTCGCATGTTGGTAACTGAGCTCTATATACTGATCCACTACTTCCAATTCCAATGCAGTGAGCGTCACTAAAATTTTCTGTGGCGTCAACAATTTGCCTGTACATATCTCCTCCATGAAAGTTCCAGATGGCGAACAGCTTTGTCTGTTGCAACTCATTTGCGCATTCCACCTTGCGTTTCCTCCTTTTACATTGCAAAGTTACTAGTGCCATGATAAACTGAAAAGATACAACAACAGGTATTATAGCTAGTAAAATAGCTCTGGGCTTCTTTTTTCGTCCACCACTTTCAGTAAGGTCACAAGGGGGCAAACCTTTCACTACACCACACAATTGCTTATTCTGCATGAACCATTTGATTGGAGCTTCTTCAAACAACCTACTCTGTGGCACTGACCCTTCCAATTTGTTGAATGACACATCAATGGATAGGAGGCTGAACATGCGCTGAAATGATGGTGGGATGCTACCTTTCAATGCATTGTGTGAAAGATTCAAAATTTCGAGCATGCTCAAACCACCCAGCTGACTCGGAATGACACTAGCAAATGAATTATCACTTAGATCCAACAATTCTTGTAGGTTTACCAGCATTTCTAGTTTGATTGGAATGCTGCCATTGAGGCGATTATGGCTCAAATTCAGGAAGTGAAGCTTGAGACAATGTTCAATTGACCCTTGTATCATCCCACTTAGGTTGTTTGATGATAAATCCAAGTACTCCAAATTATTTAGCGATCCAATATCTTTAGGTATACTTCCTTCGAGCAGGTTATTACTGAGGCTCAAGTTGAACAGCACCGTTAAATTGCCAATCCCCAGTGGAATCTGCCCTTCAAGTTTATTTGCTGAAACATCAAGTATCCCCAACTGAGATAACTGCCCTATGCTTGGTGGTATGACTCTAGTAATGTTGTTGTTTGAAGCACGTAGCATCGTAAGTTTGTAACACTCACCCCAGCGATGAGATAATTGACCAGATAGTTTGTTTGAACTGATATCAACATAGACAAGATTAGGGTGAAGCCCCATCTTGGAGATATCTCCTTGAAGCTGATTTCCTTCAAGACAAAGTTTGACTAGGCTTTTGCAACTTAGCAAGCTTGTTGGCAAGGGTCCAACCAAGTTGTTGCCATTAGCGGTGAGAAACTGTAGTTGGCCTCCCACGCAAAGATCCGATGGCAATGCACCAGATAGATTGTTCAAAGAGACTCCAAACATTTCCAGATTCATCAACTCACCAATTTCTTGAGGATTGTGTCCAGAAAATTGGTTGAAATTAAGGTTTAAGAAGGCGAGCTTAGTCAAATTGCCTAAACTGTTTGGGATAGGACCTGTTAGGTTGTTCAAACTGAGCTGAAAGTCCTCTAAATTCACCATATAACCTAGTTCCCAAGGAATTTTTCCAGAAAGTTGGTTCTGGCCAAGGTACAAGATCTTGAGTTTGGTAAAATTACACAAATTTCTTGGAAAGTAACCTGTTAGTGTGTTGTAGCTAAGCCGCAAGTCCTCTATGTGCACCAAATATCCCAAAACCAGTGGAATGTGTCCAGAAAGTTGGTTATGGTGAAGGTGCAAGGTAGTAAGTTTGGTCAAATTCCATAAATTGCTTGGAAAGGAACCAGATAGTGTGTTGTTGTTGAGCCTCAAGTCCTCTAAAATCACTAAATAACCTAGTTCTCGAGGAATGTGTCCAGAAAGTTGGTTATGGTAAAGGTACAATGTAGTGAGTTTGGTCAGGTTACCTATATTGCTAGGGATTGAACCTGAAAAGTTGTTTTGGCTTATGTCTAAGTGTTGTAGGTTGAAAAATTTCACTATATCTTTGGGAATGGGACCACTTAAGTTGTTACGGGATAATGATAGCATATTTATGTTTTCTAAGTTTACTTTTGCAGCAGGCTGAGATGAAAAATTATTCATAGGATTTTGTATGGATGAGTTAACTGGACTGAAGGAAACTGGTCCGGAAAGGTCATTGCTGGACAAATCTAATTTAAGCAAATGCTTAAGATGACCTATTTCACAAGGAATAGGACCAACTAAGTAATTGTTTGACAAGTTCAGGCTCACAAGATTACCCATCTCGCCTATTTGCCTTGGTATTTCACCGGAGACTTGGTTGTCATGGAGCATTAGGAGAAGCAGTTTCGTGAGATTTGCTAAAACAGGTGGTATTGAACCTCTTATCTGATTGTAATAGAGGCAAAGGTGTCCCGTCTTTCGATGAGATGATGGATTTCGCTTTGGTGGAAGTCGACTTTGACGATCCGACTACGAACGTGCGAGGATGTCGCGCCTTAGCAATCGCTAAACCAACTCCGAGAGGTTATTGACCACGCCGGAGCACGATCAACCTGACCACAAGGGTATGTTTCCTGCGAGCAAACGAAGAACAAGCAAGAAACTGAGATTGCAAATCTGGATATTGCAAATATAAGATGAAAGCTTTATTGATCAAGGTGGGGTTCTGTGACGCCTTTGTCTGGTCGTTGAACACAAACGAAGTATGCGAAGTTGCAGCTATGACGAACTTTTAATCTAAACAAAACCCCAAAGTCTAAACGGTGCCCTAAGGGCTGTATATATGGAGGAAGAGGGGGGAATTTCGTGGCCCTTGGTGGAGGGATCCGAAATCAACCCTATCTCTTGTTTCCCCACACATACGGACTCTAAAAATAGCCTATACTTATGTATTTCGAAATTACAAGGGCCTGGCCCAATAATAAGGTGACGCAGCACCTAGAATAGCCTCGGGACAAAATTTATGAAGTGGTATCTTGTATATTTCGTCCAAGGCTTCATGCACCCATTATGGTGGCTTCAAAGTCCTGAAATCATCACTTGTAACTCTGTTCTTGTTCCCCTTGCGCATGGCATCATCTCCATGCTTGTTCTTGCTCCAATGTTCATCCTTCTCCAAGCTAGGCCCTTCATTTGTAAGCAAAACAAATGTATCCAATTTAGGCAGCATCATATTCTCATGAACATTAGAATCATTACCAAGAAACGAAAGTACCTGATAATTTAATTGGCGTGCGCGAGCTCTAGTAATTGGTCCCGTATATGTAGCAGTAGGGGCTGTGGGTGTAACAATGGTATTGATGTCCTCATCATCCTCCCCTTCTTGAAATAAAGTCGTCCTCGACGGAAGCTCATCTTCCTCACCCAAATAAGGCTTCAAATCTGCAATGTTAAAAGTGGGACTAACCCCAAAATCTGCAGGCAGCTCAAGTTTATATGCATTATCATTTATTTTCTCTAACACCTTAAAGGGACCATCAGCACGTGGCATGAGCTTTGATTTGCGCAAATCAAGAAATCTATCCTTACGCAAATGTAACCAAATAAGATCTCCAGGTGCAAACACAACATGTTTTCTATCCTTATCTCCAACAAGTTTATATTTGGCATTCATAAGCTCAATGTTTTCCTTAGTTAACTCATGCATTTTTAAAATCAATTCAGCACGTTGTTTAGCACCAAAATTAACCTTCTCCGAAGATGGAAGAGGCAACAAATCAATAGGTGCACGAGGTAGGAAACCATACACAACTTCAAAAGGGCACATCTTAGTAGTAGAATGCAATGAACGATTATAAGCAAATTCAATATGAGGCAAGCATTCCTCCCACATTTTCTTATTACTCTTCAAAACAGCCCTAAGCATAGTAGACAATGTTCTATTGACTACTTTAGTTTGTTCATTAGTTTGGGGGTGACAAGTAGTACTAAAAAGCAGTTTAGTCCCCAACTTAGCCCATAAACATCTCCAAAAGTGGCTAAGAAATTTAGTATCACGATATGAAACAATAGTATTTGGCACACCATGCAAGCGAATAATTTCACGAAAGAACAAATCAGCAACATTAACAGCATCATCGCTTTTATGACATGGTATAAAGTGTGCCATTTTCGAGAATCTATCCACGACAACAAATATGCTATCCCTCCCCTTCTTTGTTCGAGGTAAACCTAAAACAAAGTCCATAGATATATCCTCCCAAGGAACACTAGGTACAGGCAAAGGCATACATAAACCATGAGAATTGAGTCGTGACTTAGCTTTTTGACATGTAGTGCAGCGAGCAATAAAACGCTCAACATCCCGTCTCATCTTTGGCCAAAAGAAATGTGTAGCAAGTACGTCCTCCGTCTTCTTCACGCCAAAGTGTCCCATTAATCATCGTCCATGCGCCTCCTGCAACAACAAAAGACGAACGGAGCTAGCTGGAATGCATAGCTTGTTAGCAAGAAACACAAATCCATCGTTAACGACAAACTTGTTCCACATTCTTCCTTCTTTACAATTCTGCATTACATCTGTCAAATCAGCATCATGCACATATTGATCTTTGATGCTCTCCAAACCAAATATTTTGAAGTCAAGTTGTGAAAGCATAGTATAGCGACGAGACAATGCATCAGCAATAACATTTTCTTTTCCCCTCTTGTGTTTAATGAAATAAGGGAAAGTCTCAATGAATTCAACCCATTTAGCATGTCTACGATTCAGTTTAGCTTGACTTTTAATATGTTTCAAAGATTCATGATCAGAATGTATAACAAATTCTTTGGGCCATAAATAATGTTGCCATGTTTCTAAAGTCCGAACAAGAGCATATAATTCTTTATCATAAGTAAAATAATTCAGACTAGGCCCACTCAATTTTTCAAAAAAGTATGTAACAGGTTTGCCATCTTGTAATAACACACCTCCTAATCCAATTCCATTAGCATCACATTCAAGCTCAAAAGTCTTATTAAAATCAGGAAGTTGGAGTAAAGGAGCATGTGTCAACTTATCTTTCAATACCGTGAAGGCTTTTTCCTGTGCGGTACCCCAAACAAAAGGCACATCCTTCTTTGTAAGCTCATTGAGAGGTGCAGCAATGGTGCTGAAATCTCTCACAAAACGCCTATAGAATCCAGCGAGGCCAAGAAAACTCCTAACTTGTGTGACCGTTTTGGGCTACGGCCAACTCTCAATAGCTTCAATCTTGGCTTTATCAACTTCAATTCCCTGTGGAATAACAACATAGCCAAGAAAAGACACTCGGTCGGTGCAAAAGGTGCACTTCCCAAGGTTACCAAATAAACGTGCATCACGTAGAGCAATAAAAACAACACGTAAATGTTCCAAATGTTCCTCCAAAGTTCTGCTATAAATCAATATGTCATCAAAGTAAACTACCACAAATTGTCCAATGAAAGCACGTAAAACTTCGTTCATTAATCTCATGAAAGTACTAGGTGCATTAGTTAACCCAAAAGGCATGACTAACCACTCATATAATCCAAACTTAGTTTTAAATGTTGTTTTCCATTCATCTCCCAATTTCATACGAATTTGATGGTATCCACTACGCAAATCAACTTTGGAGAATATTGTAGAGCCACTCAATTCATCAAGCATATCATCTAGCCTAGGAATAGGATGACGATAATGAATAGTAATATTATTAATGCCTCTACAATCAACACACATACGTGATGTACCATCCTTTTTCGGCACTAGAATAATAGGAACAGCACAAGGACTAAGGGATTCGCGTATATAATCTTTGTCGAGAAGCTCTTGTACTTGACGCATAATCTTCTTCGTCTCCTCTGGATTGGTACGGTATGGTGCATGGTTTGGCAGTGAAGCACCGGGAATTAAGTCAATCTGATGCTCAATCCCTCGAATAGGCGGTAATCCCGGTGGCACGTCTTGTGGAAAGACGTCAGCGAACTCCTGCAAAATGTTAGTGACAGCAGGAGGCAAAGAGGAAGGCACGTCCTCGAATGAAAATAATGCCTCTTTGCACACAAAAGCATAGCAAACAGATTTGCTGAAATCTAGCTCATCAATATCAGATTTGGTGGCAAATAAACATGCACTTTTCAATTTAATTTCAGAAGCAACACTAGATGGTTTATTATTAGGCTTCATTTGTTGCTCAAATTCTTTTGCCACAATCTGATTTTCACTCTTATTCTTCTCCTGTTTTGCTTTATTAGCTCTATTAATATCATCTTTCAAAATGGAATCAGGAGTCATAGGAAGCAAAGTAATATGTTTATCCTTATGAACAAGAGTATAGTGATTGTTTCTACCATGGTGTACAAAATTTTTATCAAATTGCCATGGTCTACCAAGTAATAAGGAACATGCTTGCATAGGTACGACATCACAATCAACATAATCAGCATATGTAGAGATACTAAAATGCACACGAACAGTACGTGTTACCTTAACCTTGCCGCTGTTGTTGAACCATTGGATGTAGTAAGGATGTGGATGTGGTCTTGTGGTGAGAGAAAGCTTCTCCACCATCTCCATGCTAGCCAAGTTGTTGCAGCTCCCTTCGTCTATGATGACGCGCACAGAACATTCCTTCACAACTCCCTTGGTATGGAACAAATTGTGCCTCTGATTTTGCTCAGCTTGTGTGACCTGCGCACTCAAAACACGTTGAGCAACTAAACATTCATACCTGTCAGCGTCTTCAGGAGCCATGTATTGCGTCTCATGATCAGAATCATCTCCACCATGTTCTTCACGTGTAATAAGAGCCAAAGTCTCCTCATCATAGTCACTAGCGGACTCATACCCACCATCCTCGGTAGCAATCATCACACGCTGAGATTTGCATTCTCTCGCATAATGACCTCCTCCCTTACAACGACGACAAATAATATCACTTGTGTGCCCTGTTGATGCTATGGAAGAAGAAGAACGCTGTGCAGGCCCCGCAGGTGCGCTCTTGGCAGATAATGGTGGTTGTGCCTGTTTTCTTGTATCATGGCTGGAGGTGGCACCTGATGGAGGTGCTGGTGCAGTTGAAGTAGAAGATGCACGCGGTGTCCATGATGAAGGTCGGCCTGCAGAAAAGTTAGTTCGCCCCAATGCTTGTCGATCCTGCACTTCACGTTCAGCTTTACAACCAAGATGGAATAAACGAGTGATATTAGTATACTCCTTATAGTCTAGAATGGTCTGTATCTCTCTATTTAATCCACCGAGAAAACGTGCAAGCATACCTTCATTCTCCTCAACAATACCACATCTAATCATGCCAGTTTGTAATTCCTGATAATATTCTTCGACAGAATTTTTTCCTTGTCTTAAACGCTGCAATTTTTGAAGCAATTCACGTTGATAATATGGTGGAACCTAACGCGTACGCATAGCAGTTTTCAAAGCAGCCCAAGTAGTTGGAATAGGATATAATCTACAATGTTCAGACCACCATACACATGCAAAACTAGTGAAAGCACAAACAACAGCAGCAACTCGTCTCTCCTCAGGATATTGTAAACATGTAAATCGTTATTCAGTTTCTAATTCCCAAGTAAGATATATATCAGGAACATATCTACCCTCAAATGGTGG